GGAGTACAAAGTGATAAAACAGAAACTTTGTAACCATTACTCACCAAAACCAACCAAATTCGCTCAACGATACGCCTTCACCCGAATCTTTCAAGTGAAAGGAGAGCGTGTGGCAGAATACGTCGAAAGACTAACCGAAACTGCCATGGACTGTGAATTTGAGAACGAGTTGGAATCGAGAATGCTGGACCAATTCATAGCTGGACTGTGTGATGAAAGCGTGAAAGCGAAACTCCTGAAGAAAACAGATTTAACATTAGCAACAGCGAGAGAGCATGTAGCAACTTTAGAGAAATCTGTGGAAGAAGCTCAATATATGTCGAAAAATAGTGTTACTGTCAGAAACAGTGGAACTTCTGGAACTGTGAATAAGGTTTCGGATAGGAAATCAAAGCAGTTCAGAAAAGAAAGTAGTTTAAAACCAAGAGGAGAAATGTACTGTGAAAAGTGTACATTGCGCAGCCATAACACAAGGGACTGTAAAACAGTATGCAGGAAGTGCAAAGAGAAGTACCACATTGCTAGAAACTGCACGGGTACTAAGAAGAACTATAAGTACAGAAAAGGTGATAAATCTCACCATGTTGAAGAATCTTCCGAGACCGATGAGAATGACGAGAGCGACGTCGAGATAGCTTTTGTTTGTGTTGAGGAGAAATCAGTAGATATGTTTAGAGTGAGAGAAAGTGAAAACGAATTGATTGAAATTGACAAATTTGATTATTCGAAGTTATTACCCTCTGATGATTATTCTGAATTTGACACAGTTATTGAGTATGATGATTCAAATTTAGATGCTTGTGATGACTCTTCTTCTATAGAATTGATTGACAATCAAGAGATTGTTGAATTCAATTGTAACCATACTTCCTCAGAAAAACTGTTAGTGCCAGTGAAACTAAATGGACGAGATTTGAACATGGAATTTGACTCCGGATCAAGCGTAAGTATTGTTAGTTGTAATGTGTTGTCTAAGGTAGGATTAGATTTACTTCCTCTTATACCTTCGGCAAAAAGACTGAGAGCAGCGAACAATGAGAGACTACCAGTGATGGCGAAAGCACAAGTCGACGTAGAATTCAATGGAAAGATCATTCCAAAACTAGACTTAGTCATTGTGGAAGGAAAATGTCCATCATTAATGGGACAATCTTGGATAACCAGATTTTTAGGAGATGACTGGTTGGAGACAACACTGAAGAGATCAAAGATTGCTATTTCTTCTTGTTTTGATTTTTCCCCATGTGTAAGTAAGTCTGTGAATGTTTTAAGTAATGTCCATGTTAGTCCTGTCGAAGTCCAGTCCTGTGTGTCCCTTTTACCTCTTAGTCAGAGACCCTCAGAGAGGGGTGAACAAAGACCCTCAGAGAGGGGTGATCAAAGAACCATGAACGAGGGAACAGTCACACAGAAGAAAGAAGTTCAGAAACCTTTGAGAAGTTTAGACGAGCTGAAAATCAGTCCTATTTTTGAAGAAGGACTGGGGCTCATCAAAGGAGCAATGGCAAAACTAGTGCTGAAAGAAGATGCTCAACCAAAATCGTTGGGTGTGAGACCTTTGCCGTACGCGAAAAAGGATCAAGTAGGGAAAGAGCTGACAAGAATGTTGAACGAGGGAACACTAACCAAGGTAGAGGGAGCAAGCCCTTGGGGAACACCTATAGTCCCCGTGTTCAAAGGAGAAAAGACTCGTATATGTGGCTCGTATAACCTTACTTTGAATCCTGCTATGGCAGCACAGCAGTACCCACTGCCGTCTATAGAAGAGTGCCTGAACAAAGTAACGGGAGGACAGCAGTTTACAAAACTAGACGTTAGAGCTGCATACAATAACATCCCAATCAGGAAAGAAGACAGAATACTGACAACGATTAACACCCATTTAGGACAGTTATTGTGGAATCGTTTACCCTACGGTATTTCTCCAGCAGCAGCCATTTTTCAAGAGACCATAGATCAGACATTGGCAGGGATACCAATGTGTTGTTGCAGAGTGGACGACATCCTCGTTTCCGGAAAGGACAGAGAGGAACACCTGAGAATACTCAACGAAGTTATTGGCCGATTGGAAAACCAAGGATACAGATGCAAGATGGAAAAGTCAGAATTCTTGAAAGACTCTGTGATTTACCTAGGACATGAGGTAAACAAAGACGGGATCAGACCCGTTAAGTCGAAAGTGGAAGATATGCTAAACATGAGAGCACCACGATCAGTAGAAGAATTAGTATCATTCTTGTCAGGAGTGAACTACTACAGGAGGTATCTACCAAACATGTCACAGATTGTTGCTCCATTAGATGAACTCAGAAAGAAAGGAGTAGAATGGAAGTGGACAAAGAGACAACAAGAAGCTTGGAAGAATTTGAAGAAACTACTTAGCTCGGATGTAGTGCTGACTTTGTACGATCCTAAGAAACCGCTGAAACTTGACACCGACGCCTCTCCGACCGGATTGGGTGCAGTACTGTCACATACAATGCCCGATGGATCAGAACGTCCAATCGAGTATATTTCAAGGACTTTAACTGCAGCGGAAAAGAACTACGCACAAATCGACCGTGAAGCAGCAGCGATTGTGTGGGCTGTTAAACGTTTCCATTTGTACCTGTATGGAAGGAAGTTTAAACTGATAACCGACAACCAGCCACTAGTACACATCTTCAGCAAAAACAAGCAACTGTCAGTCATGACCGCAGCAAGATTAACCAGATGGTCATTATTTCTCATGGATTACGACTATGATATCTGCTACAGATCAACCAAAGCCCATGGGAACGCAGACATGTTATCGAGACTACCAAGACCACACACCCCAGAAGATGAAAAGGAAACAGAAAACGATTGGGTACAGAGTGTGGATATAGAAAATACAGGATTAACGGCTAAAAACATCGAATCACATACCAGGAAGGACCCTGTCTTATCGAAAGTTCTACACTACGTGAAGAATGGATGGTCAGATAGAGAAACAAATTTCACAGATGAAATGACCGCTTATTGGAATCGGAAAAATGACATTTCAATAGAAAACGGATGTTTGACATGGGGTTGCAGAGTTATTATTCCAGTTAAGTTAAGGACTACCGTATTGGAGATGTTACACGCAACACACCTAGGTATCAGCAGAATGAAAACATTAGCACGATCATACGTATATTGGCCGTTAATAAACTCAGAGATCGAGCAAATAGCTAACACGTGCACAACATGTGGGAAACATGGGAAGAGTTTACCAAGTTTGATTGAACACCCATGGACCAGACCATCAATGCCTTGGCAAAGAGTCCACATTGATTACGCTGGACCATTTCTCAACAGCATGTGGTTAGTAGTTTATGACGCTCATTCACGTTGGCCTGAAGTGGTAAAGATGAACAATAACACCACATCATCAGCAACGATCAGAGCTTTGAGAACCATTTTCAGTAGATTCGGACTACCGTTTGTTATAGTGAGTGACAACGGAACAAACTTTACTTCACAGGAATTCGAAGATTTCTTGCAGAGGAACAACATACACCACTTAAAGACAGGAACGTATCACCCAAAAAGTAATGGATGCTGTGAGAGATTTGTAGGAACATTCAAAGACGCGATGAAAAAGATGTATGAAAATTGTAAAGATGTCGACAAGAATCTAGCAAATTTCTTAGTTAACTACAGAATCACTCCGCACAGCGTTACTGGGATACCACCGTCTGAAGCGCTATTTAAGAAACTCTATGTAAGAACAAGGTTGAATCACGTATTTCCAGCAGATCGTGAAACGTCTGAAAGATTGAACGTGGATAAAGAACAGGAAATACTGAATGCCAGCAGAATCAGAAACCGCCAGTTTGAAGACAAGCAGAAAGTATATGTGCAACCACAGAACAAAGACACTTGGAGTCAAGGAGAAATTCAACGAAGAATCGGGAACTCTAACATGTACGAAGTTATGTTTGACGGAAGAAACGTGATTAAACACGCAGACCATATCAAGCAAAGATCAGTTCAGGTACTACAACAAGCAGAGACGTCGGAAAAGGACAACTCTCCAGAGACTGAATGTTTTACTTTACCTAATTCTAGTACGGTTGTGTCGTCAGAACAATTAACTGAAGTTGATTTACCTAACACACCTCTCAGAACGAACGAACCAGAGTTAACTAACAATAACCCCAGTTCAGGTGAAGCACAAGAAACTAACCAAACTCGCAGGTCAGAGCGATTAGCTCTAAAACCTAAACAATCTTATGAAAAATATCGTTAAGATCAAACGTTAAGATTTTACACACAATTGTTTTTGAGTATTACACGAATTTTATACGGTGAATTTTTTACACAATATGTACAGTTAACTGAATATTGACAAGGAGTAAGAAATCCGAGAAGGACATTGTTTTTTTTAATAATTTTGTTTCGTATAATTAAAGTATCGTGCATTTTTAAACCAGAATTGATTGATTATTTCGGGATCAAAAGCTTTGAATGTTCACGTATTTGAATGACAGAAGAGAGAGAGGAAGGATTTTATGGAACGCGCAGAACGTTTTAAATTTTATAAAGTAATTTATGTCCAGTACTTTTATGCGCGCTGTTTTTATCCTAACACGAGGTATTGAAAGATGAAGGAGGAATGTTGTGAATTGTAATATTATGCAATATAATGATTATTAACCATTTCTATCCTTAGCCTAGGATTCAAGTCCAAGTTATAACAAGTGTATCAATTCTCTGAAGAACTCACGAATTATAGATAGAATATAAAATCATAACAGAATTGTTTTTGACATAAATTATTACAAGATTCTATATCTTTTTGCTGGGTCCTTCCTCATTTAACCCTCAATCACAGAAATCCAGATAATGCGGCTTAATCGACAGCAGGTGATTGCAAAGAAGCCCTTAGTACCACCTGGTATTCATAGATTGAGATTGATACAATATATAATATTGTTATTGTTATAATTTTCAAGCATGTTTATCGTTTCCATCAAATCAGTGTAGCAAACAGCATGGCGTCACCATATCAAAAGCTGATCAATGAGCTTAAAGACACAGAAAACTTTGTCAAAGAGGTTTTTTTTAAAAATATCATCAATGTACTGCTATGAATGCACTAGAACAATTAATGAGCATAAGGAAAAAGTAATTAAGAGGATCAATATTTCTGACAAAGCAAATGTTATCATAAGTGCATCTTTAACTCTTCTTGTAGTTAACATAGGTTTGCTGAAATAGTGCACCTCACAAGAAAATACTCTCAGGTTACTCTTGGTAGAAGAATAGGGTATTATACACTTGGACAGATTCTAGGTAAAGGTGCTTTCGCTGAAGTCAAACTTGGAAATCATCTCCTTATGAATGGTAAGGTACATCTTTTTTGTTGTAAAAATATACTGAACTAGCTAAAACAATAAAATTGTAAAATAGAATTTACCTGCACAGCCACAATGATAAAGTACTCCTCAGGATACATTTTTTCTTAATTCGTTCAACATAAAATTGTTTTTTTCTTAGATTTAATGTCGACATTTTCAGAAAAAGTGGCTGTTAAAATAACTGAGAAAGGAAAACATGGTTGTGGCAAAACCCTGGAAATAATGAGGCAAGAAATTGGTGCTATGGAGAAGCTGGACCATCCTAATATAACATCTCTCTACGAGGAGATAGAAACGCTTGATAAATTCTACTGCATTTTAGAATATGTTGATGGTGAGTCTTTGCAATTATAGAAACGCTTGATAAATTCTACTGCATTTTAGAATATGTTGATGGTGAGTCTTGTTTTGGAACATTGTTTGACAAAACTTTAATTCATTCATGTATAATTTCATTCCCTCAAAGTTTTCTCCGGATTATATACTGCTTCCAGTACCTTGATGGCGACTTGCGTCACTCTCAACTACCTCACTGATTGGTCACTGGTCAAAATTTCAGCCAAAACCGCGAAATTTCGGTCATGGTCATGGAGACGGCAGTGTTAAAGCTTCTCTTCAAAAATCTTCCAAAATCTCTTTTTCTATTCTGATGATTTCCGTTTATTTACGCTTTCTTTGGGAATAGAACTTTTAGTGCCTTAATCGTGTTTTGTGCCATTCTCAGTGACCTTGCTAAATGTTTATTCAAGGAAAATTCAGTTAAAACAGCTTGTGTCAGAGGAATTTTATACCCTGGCCGTTTACAGTGGAAGTAATTTGTACATTGCATTTCATCAGTTTTATCACTGCAGTCATCTTTCAGGTCAAAGACTTTGGAATAGTCGGCACATTTGATACCGTTATCACAAACAAAAACGTTGTTCCCTTAGTTACCACTGGTTATCTCCATGATTATAGTTGCTAGTCTAGTTTGATATTGTCCAGGACAATTATTGTAGTATGGATGGTTCCTCAGCGGACAGGTGCAATCAGGATACTGACCTATAAACTACTTGTTCCCCAAATATATAGTCACAATTATTGGTTCTTATTTGGAAACATTAACTCTGTCATACCAATTCTTAACACTTCTTGAAGACTGGCTTCATAAAAATTGGAAAGACCTTTCAGGCAGAAGGATAGGCACTTTTTCTGGAATTGCATTTTGGATCATTTAGTGTTTCAACTTTTCTTTGCTACATCTGGAATATCATCTGGAATACAGCACAGATTTTATTTTCGCTTCCACAACCATTCCGGCATTCCATCGTAATCCATCACAAAGATCCTTCAAACAACCGATTTGAAATATTTTTTGTGGGGAATTCATTTCTAACATCTTCAGGCGGGACACTACAGGATTATGTTAAGGGTAAGTCACGAAGTGGAGTGTGCACAATCACGGAGCATACAGCCCGATTCTTCTTTATTCAAATACTGGATGCTGTGAACCACATGGTGAGTACTGACTACTGAGTAGTTTCTACATTATTTCTAGATATCACATGGTGAGTAGGTAGTTTCTACATTATTTCTAGATATCACATGGTGAGTAGGTAGTTTCTACATTATTTCTAGATATTTTCACATGGTGAGTAGTAGTTTCTACATTATTTCTAGATATCACATGGTGAGTAGGTAGTTTCTACATTATTTCTAGATATCACATGGTGAGTAGGTAGTTTCTACATTATTTCTAGATATCACATGGTGAGAAGGTAGTTTCTACATTATTTCTAGATATCACATGGTGAGTAGGTACTTTCTACATTATTTCTAGATATCACATGGTGAGTAGGTAGTTTCTACATTATTTCTAGATATCACATGGTGAGTAGGTAGTTTCTACATTATTTCTAGATATCACATGGTGAGTAGGTAGTTTCTACATTATTTCTAGATATCACATGGTGAGTAGGTAGTTTCTACATTATTTCTAGATATCACATGGTGAGTAGGTAGTTTCTACATTATTTCTAGATATCACATGGTGAGTAGGTAGTTTCTACATTATTTCTAGATATCACATGGTGAGTAGGTAGTTTCTACATTATTTCTAGATATCACATGGTGAGTAGGTAGTTTCTACATTATTTCTAGATATCACATGGTGAGTAGGTAGTTTCTACATTATTTCTAGATATTTTCACATGGTGAGTAGTAGTTTCTACATTATTTCTAGATATCACATGGTGAGTAGGTAGTTTCTACATTATTTCTAGATACCACATGGTGAGTAGGTAGTTTCTACATTATTTATAGATATCACATGGTGAGTAGGTAGTTTCTACATTATTTATAGATATCACATGGTGAGTAGGTAGTTTCTACATTATTTATAGATATCACATGGTGAGTAGGTAGTTTCTACATTATTTCTAGATATCACATGGTGAGTAGGTAGTTTCTACATTATTTCTAGATATCACATGGTGAGTAGGTAGTTTCTACATTATTTCTAGATATCACATGGTGAGTAGGTAGTTTCTACATTATTTCTAGATATCACATGGTGAGTAGGTAGTTTCTACATTATTTCTAGATATCACATGGTGAGTAGGTAGTTTCTACATTATTTCTAGATATCACATGGTGAGTAGGTAGTTTCTACATTATTTCTAGATATCACATGGTGAGTAGGTAGTTTCTACATTATTTCTAGATATTTTCTCGATACACTCAGTTTGTTTAAAAGACAGAGCCTTCAAATGAACAAAAATCAAAGACAGCAAGGTTAGGTATCAAATTGGAAAATTAAAGACGCCACAACAGGATGAGTGCTACATCCTCTTCTCCCATTTCAAATGTCCGTCTGTACTCCATATTCTGATGTCCTATGTGCCATACTTTGGGTGAGAACTGTCTTTAGTTTCCTATTGATCAGCATTTCGAACTATTTGAAAGTTCGGTTATTCACAATGTCCATTTCTTGAATTTAATTGATCGTTAGTTAAAGTCGGGTACAAGCCAGACGGCTGTCTACTCTCATGGCCTTCACATAGGAGTCAACCAGGCCTAGGAGAGCACTTCCAATATCATAATAAAGATCCGCAATGATCAAGAGGGTCGAATCTTCTGTATCTTCCATTTCTTCAGAATGAGAATTTTCTGAATCGAACGATCTAGCCGATTCGTTACGTAACGTCAGAATTACAAGCAAATCTGTGCCGATCATATTTTGTAGAGTTGATGCTTTGAAATATGATATTAATTAGTCTACTCGCAGTTTGTAAATATTTGCTTAACTTCGTCAAATCTGCACGTGTTTCCTTCTCTGACTCCAATATTAGCAAAATTCAACAGAATTAGAAACCAAATCAGTTTTTTTTCACAATCTGTGACAAACTGTGACAAAAATCTTTTGCGCGCGAATTTTAAATTTAAAGTTTTTGAATAAAGCACAACTTTTCACATTTACCGTGACAGCGATTGCGCGCGCTTTTCCGACACTCCACGGACCCGTACAGCTTACCGCACCTATCGGAAGCATAACGCACCAACCGGAAGCATATTGGATTACGGATACATATCGCATAGATATTTAAGTTGAGATATTCTATCATAGTCCGCCGTCCGGCTAATCCCTACTACGGTTTTATTAGCTTAAAATTACTTCTCTTTTGTTGATAATTCTCAAATCTAATGCACTATTTGTATTTTCAGCATAGGTGTGGGGTATTTCACCGAGATTTGAAGACTGAAAACATTCTTATGGATAAAGATAAGACGATAAGAGTTGCTGATTTCGGAATAAGCACTTGTGAACGAGGTTTAATAACTCAACATTGTGGGTCGCCCGCCTACTGCCCTCCAGAGATCTTCAAGAAGATTCCCTACTTGGCTGCTCCCATGGACGTTTGGGCATTAGGTTTGTTTATCTTAAATCTGTAGTACTAGTAAAGGGAAGACTAGATCTATCAAGTAAGGAGACAGGATCCAATTACGATTTATAGTGATCATACTTCTGACAAAATTCTGAAACCATTTCATGATCTTTATAAGACAAAATATCGCTATAAACCATCTCATCCATCTGAATGATATCCATGATTAATGGATCCTGCTTGAGTTACATTAATAAACTATTAAAGTCTCTTGATAAGTGATTCTAGTTCTACTCCCCAGGATGTATACTCTATGAGCTGGGTGCTGGTGATATGCCTTTTAGGGCACCTACTAAGCAAGAAATGACAGACAAAATCCTGCAGGTTGATTATGTCATCCCGGAGAATTTTAGCGATAATCTCAAAGATCTAGTACAAAAGATTATTGTCGGTATGATATGTGAATTATAACCAACATTAATTATACTATAAGGATTAAATATTATATTCCCGATATTTCCTCTGCAGTCTGCACCTTCGCCTTTCTTGTAAAAAAGAAAGAAGTTCGTTGGTCTCCTTATCTCTGTTTGCACCCCTTTCATTATTTCATGCAATTTAACCTTCTGTGGACGACAATGGACCGCCTTACGGTGTAAACTTACTTTGATTCCTAAATTAAATTGTCTATCAATGATTACTGTTAGTCTTGTGGCTTATCAGATTCCACAAATCAAACCAAAAGCAGCTTAATTTAATCGACATATCGGGTCCTGAAATTATTACAGTGTTGCCATTTTCCAGGTGACACAAAAGATAGGTTGACATTGAAAGAAATACGGGGACATCCCTGGTTAGCAGGAGCAGAAAACAGCACCGATTTCAGTCCCGATCCCACATTGTACGTACATCACGACTTAGCTCGAGTAATTATTGGTTTATGATAAACACCAAATATAACTTACCACGTAACGAGTTGACCAGATAGACTAGACGATTTTAAAAATTTTCAATTTATAGCCGAATTTCGTAAATTTACATCAGCTTCCAGGGATGATTCAGCTTGGACGACTATAACAAATCACATTGATCATAAGTGTTTGTATAGTATAATATCCGAGATTTAAAAGACGACCTACAATGCGTATGTTTTAGCTAACACCGAACAGGTATCATGCGGGAGAAGTTAGAGACCTACAATGCGTATGTTTTAGCTAACACCGAACAGGTATCATGCGGGAGAGGTTAGAGACCTACAATGCGTATGTTTTAGCTAACACCTAACAGGTATGCGGGACTCGGGAGAGGTTAGAGACCTACAATGCGTATGTTTTAGCTAACACCGAACAGGTATGCGGGAGAGGTTAGAGACCTACAATGCGTATGTTTTAGCTAACACCGAACAGGTATGCAGGAGAGGTTAGAGACCTACAATGCGTATGTTTTAGCTAACACCGAACAGGTATGCGGGAGAGGTTAGAGACCTACAATGCGTATGTTTTAGCTAACACCGAACAGGTATGCGGGAGAGGTTAGAGACCTACAATGCGTATGTTTTAGCTAACACCGAACAGGTATGCGGGAGAGGTTAGAGACCTACAATGCGTATGTTTTAGCTAACACCGAACAGGTATGCAGGAGAGGTTAGAGACCTACAATGCGTATGTTTTAGCTAACACCGAACAGGTATGCAGGAGAGGTTAGAGACCTACAATGCGTATGTTTTAGCTAACACCGAACAGGTATGCGGGAGAGGTTAGAGACCTACAATGCGTATGTTTTAGCTAACACCGAACAGGTATGCGGGAGAGGTTAGAGACCTACAATGCGTATGTTTTAGCTAACACCGAACAGGTATGCGGGAGAGGTTAGAGACCTACAATGCATATGTTTTAGCTAACACCGAACAGGTATGCGGGAGAGGTTAGAGACCTACAATGCGTATGTTTTAGCTAACACCTAACAGGTATGCGGGAGAGGTTAGACACCTACAATGCATATGTTTTAGCTAACACCGAACAGGTATGCGGGAGAGGTTAGAGACCTACAATGCGTATGTTTTAGCTAACACCGAACAGGTATGCGGGAGAGGTTAGAGACCTACAATGCGTATGTTTTAGCTAACACCGAACAGGTATGCGGGAGAGGTTAGAGACCTACAATGCATATGTTTTAGCTAACACCGAACAGGTATGCGGGAGAAGTTAGAGACCTACAATGCGTATGTTTTAGCTAACACCGAACAGGTATGCGGGAGAGGTTAGAGACCTACAATGCGTATGTTTTAGCTAACACCGAACAGGTATGCGGGAGAGGTTAGAGACCTACAATGCGTATGTTTCAGCTAACACCTAACTGGTATGCGGGAGAGGTTAGAGACCTACAATGCGTATGTTTTAGCTAACACCTAACAGGTATGCGGGAGAGGTTAGAGACCTACAATGCATATGTTTTAGCTAACACCGAACAGGTATGCGGGAGAAGTTAGAGACCTACAATGCGTATGTTTTAGCTAACACCTAACAGGTATGCGGGAGAGGTTAGAGACCTACAATGCGTATGTTTTAGCTAACACCGAACAGGTATGCGGGAGAGGTTAGAGACCTACAATGCGTATGTTTTAGCTAACACCTAACAGGTATGCGGGAGAGGTTAGAGACCTACAATGCGTATGTTTTAGCTAACACCTAACAGGTATGCGGGAGAGGTTAGAGACCTACAATGCGTATGTTTTAGCTAACACCGAACAGGTATGCGGGAGAGGTTAGAGACCTACAATGCGTATGTTTTAGCTAACACCGAACAGGTATGCGGGAGAGGTTAGAGACCTACAATGCATATGTTTTAGCTAACACCGAACAGGTATGCGGGAGAAGTTAGAGACCTACAATGCGTATGTTTTAGCTAACACCGAACAGGTATGCGGGAGAGGTTAGAGACCTACAATGCGTATGTTTTAGCTAACACCGAACAGGTATGCGGGAGAGGTTAGAGACCTACAATGCGTATGTTTCAGCTAACACCTAACTGGTATGCGGGAGAGGTTAGAGACCTACAATGCGTATGTTTTAGCTAACACCTAACAGGTATGCGGGAGAGGTTAGAGACCTACAATGCATATGTTTTAGCTAACACCGAACAGGTATGCGGGAGAAGTTAGAGACCTACAATGCGTATGTTTTAGCTAACACCTAACAGGTATGCGGGAGAGGTTAGAGACCTACAATGCGTATGTTTTAGCTAACACCGAACAGGTATGCGGGAGAGGTTAGAGACCTACAATGCGTATGTTTTAGCTAACACCTAACAGGTATGCGGGAGAGGTTAGAGACCTACAATGCGTATGTTTTAGCTAACACCTAACAGGTATGCGGGAGAGGTTAGAGACCTACAATGCGTATATTTTAGCTAACACCTAACAGGTATGCGGGAGAGGTTAGAGACCTACAATGCGTATGTTTTAGCTAACACCTAACAGGTATGCGGGAGAGGTTAGAGACCTACAATGCGTATGTTTTAGCTAACACCGAACAGGTATGCGGGAGAGGTTAGAGATAAGCTGATGGATGTTGGTATCCCAGAGGATCTGATCTCCAAGGCGATGGAACGGGTCAGAAGTAAAGCTGAGCCCAAAGACCCTGTTCATGGTAAACCATGCTTATACTTTAGATTAATATTTTATTGTTAACAAAAATGTGAATCCCATGACCTGTTATTATATATATAATATATAAATAGTAAGATGACTTTGAATTAATGATTTCAGCTAAGACTGGTCATTGGTTACCTGTAATTGTCACCAAATATCAGTGCGCTATAATTTGAGATAAAACCTGGAACTCTCTCTCTCTCTTTCACATTCCACTTCATTCCACCTCTCTTTCAGGGACATACAAGATAGCTCTGCATGGGATACATGTTGATGCGTTACATAAGCAGGTCAACGACATGGGCAAGAGATTCTCACTCGTTACCTCGGACTTGCTACCTCAGCCGATGCTGCAGAGTCGGCGTCCTTCCTCTCTACCCGACTTCGACTCTGCTCATGACTCCTTCTCGGTAGGTTTTAGGTTAAGGGCCCTATTGGGTTTTAGGTTAAGGGCCCTAGTTAGAATTGCACCCTGGAGCCTGGGTATTGGTATATAGATCAAAAATCTTCTCGTTTTAAAAGTCTTTAACGCTGCCATGATCGAGTTGGGTTTTGATGGTAAATTTTGAATATTTTTACTGATTTCATTTTTCCATCCAAGGAAGGTCGTGGAGGAAAGAAAAAGTGCTGCTCAGTAATGTAAGTAGAACGCAGCAAATTGTGACTAGGATGACGTAGCCATGGTAACCATGCTAACAATAGTTCCACACAAACTCTCACCACACTCTCACCACACTCACCACTCACACGATTTTAATTACAAAGCAGCCATTCAAATCATAAATCCTGCCATTATCAAGATGTAACTTGAAGAAAGACGATCTGCATTACCTAAACTGTGTCAGTGCAATCTACATCTGTACAATTTATTACAATGAAAGGTACCCACTACCCAATGCCCATTCTGGTGTGCATAGTATAAAATTATAATGTCTTGTTTCTGAAAAGTATGTACACTATGTTCCTTTACCCTTTATTTTACGTACAAAGATTTTAATATTTTATGGAACCAATTATTTCCAAACTTTTTCTGCTATTTGCTATAGACAACCATCACCTTGAACTCTATTTGATTGCGATTCTATCTTAAATTGTTTATACTGTTATCTTCATTAGCTAATCATAAATTCCAGCTTCATTCCAGCCATATTTACTGCATTTCTTTTAGTATGAGATCTCTGAACTGGAGGCTGCGAGGGCTTAAACGGCTTAGCTATTCTTTCCTTCAAGGGTCAAGATAGTGACTGGGGATGTTGCTTGCGATATATAGTGATTATGCCTACGATAACTCTAGATCTTCTGATCAGGGCGCTTCATTTGTTTTAAGATCCCAATCTATGAATGAACTTCCTGGTGAAAAAATTGTATCTACGAGGTGCAGTATAATATCTAATATTAGAAATATATTCACCGTTGAATTGCGTCAAGCACATGTTCTACTACCCTCTCATGTTCGAGTGGATTTATAAATATAATAATCTAATGATTTCCTGATCTACGGGGCCATGTTTCATTACATTAAAGATATCATGACGCACATGTAAAGAATGATTTATAGCCCCTTTGAGCAGTGCACTCAGGATCTCATTATCCTTATTATGGAGGTTGGGTTGGCTCTGCAGCTCGCGTTTTCTTTGAATCCTTGTTCATTTATTCGATGATTTTGAAAGCTTTCTCGTTCTTGAAATCTAATAAGTAACATTTTAGTTCGCTCATTTTGTCACGATATTATATAGTCTAAGTGATCGATGGCTATATCCTAATAATCTTCGACGTAAATTCATTTGTGAAATTGTTGGGGTATAAAAGTAGATTCTTGGAGATTCAATTTATAAAAGTGGTCGTGATTATACCACAGATTCGTTAAACTTTAAACTCAATTTTTGAGATTGCCCAAAGATAATTGAAACAACTTATTTTGTGTTTTCATCGAAAACATTTTATATATTTTGTTGATCCAAACATTGTACACGTGCTATATAATACAATTCTGTAAATCCACACGGCCACGCATCGGAATTCTGCAAATTAATTTGTTGGCGCCATTTTAATTAATAGGCTTAAAGTCTCTACAGCACAGAATATGTGTGATAAAAATTTTTATCAGGTAGAATTGACCTCAATTAATCCAAAACTCTTGCTTTCTCAATCCATTCACTGAGTGATGTCCGAGCGTGATATAAATAATTACCTTATCGTAATAAGTTAATAACAAAACAAAAAACCCAAATCGAATTTAGGCTTACAAAAATTTAAATTTTAGGAACATAAAAGTAAAAAATCGAGTTCCGAAGTAATTGCACCTTCTTATAAGTTAATAAATATCAATGTTTAGTGTTAACTCTTAGTTAATAACCCACATAAATAGAGAAAACTTCCACGAAATTAACTTAATAATTCAACTTAACAAACGATCAGGTATTTGAGAAATTTTAAGTTTAATCACAAATAGAAACACATTAAACACTTCCTTTTGAATGGTCCAAAGTTCAAAAAGTTTTTTATTTCGGACGAGTCCAATCAAGGAATAAGATCCCCTATCCCACAGGATATTCCCATTTGTAGAAGATTCCTTTGTGGTTTCTAATCTTTCCCTTCTTATTCTTCCTTACTCCTGTAATTGATGCATTTAATAAAAACAATTGTCTATTCGTACGTTACAATCAAACAATATCAATGTCCCAATCATGCAGCAGCTGTTTGACAATAAACATGTGGTGAATATATTAGTGGCATGGAGGCTTGAGGAGGTTTCAAGTAAATAATCCTCGAGAAGCGGTTAACGGTCAACACGTCACCTAAACTTGCTACTCGAAGATCTGCCACTAACGTGGTATCGCGCGTCGCAATCTCGCCAATAAATATCCTTAAACTAATACACCCGAAACACGTGCCTTTCTCCGAAAAACCATCGATAATCTACTACGCTAATCTACCTAATCTTACACTTAAATTCAACGGTTATTTCACTATAATAATTACAATATCCTAAAGAATGCTAACTACGCTAAGCCCCTGCTGTAACTGGCTTACCACATTACACTACACTGCTATCGTTGGATTTGAGAGCAACCTTTGCTTGAAACCACCTCAACCATCTACTACGTCAATATAATACGAAGATGGACATCCTTAAAAACTGCTACTGCTAGGTGTAATTTGGTGACAAGTTTATCAATTTAAGTTCAAGAAGTGTATCATGTTTCATTTCAGAGAGAGATATCCTGAAGTGCATATCCGTACCGGATGTAAAAAATAAAATACAGTATGATATGGTTACGATGTAGTCGGACTAAGATGAAAAGCAACTGCTTTTTAAAGTTGGTTTTTATGCATAATGGTACCTCTCTAGGCTGATTTTTGATCGAACGTCTACTCGGTTTGGCCTTGGAATGACAATTTTCCTTCGACCTCGACCAAAAGAATTATAACTAGTTTTTCCTCGGCCTTGTTATGTTACGCAATGCTTCTGTCGATTTTGCGGAAAAAACCCGGTATTGGACCGAGCTACCGAGGATTTCTTTCAGTTCAATTGAAGTTTTGAGAATAAGTATACTGATTTTGAAAAATGTATACGATTATTAAAACAGTTGATTCAATGTAGCTGGATTTTGAACGTTACAAATGCGAATCTAATATTATTGAATAAGAGTTTTACCTCTTTTCAGTCGTCGTGAAGAAAGTTCATCATCTTTAAAGTCCAATACCAAGTCCTCTAGGTTTGTTTCGAGTGAGTCAACCTCCCTCTTCGTCAGATATGCCGGGTCAGATTCTGGGGAAATGTTATTGAGCATTTTATTGAGCAATGAGCATTTTATTGAGCATTCTGCATTTTATTGAGCATTCTGCATTCCTAACTTTAAAAGTTCCTATTTTATATATCCTTCTTCGTGAAAACACAAAAATATATTACTCTGTTGAAAGTAAAGATTAAGAAGCCTTTAAAATATTTTTGTTTGACCAATCAATTATTAACTACTAAACATTTTATCAATCGATCGGAATTACTGAAAAGATTGCAATTGGTCCTTTGGCTTCCTGTAATTGGCTGGTTACACCCGTGTAACGAATATGGCTGTTAGAATGTCTGAAGTAAAATAAGTGTTAGATTTTCTTAAAAAAGAAGGCTACTAACTTTTGCTTGATGCGAGGTGTGTTTTGAGTTCCAGATCTACGCTCTCTTGTCTGGTGGCTGGGTATGCCACACTACTGACCACGAAGGCAGCTGAAGAGGGTAAAGAGTGTAACATGACATGTATTAGGTGCTGGATTTACAAACTGAAATAACCCGCACATAACTCCCCAAACAGTGAATCATGTTCATAAAATATCGCTACAGTGTTTTTCGATAACTTCAGATTATCGAAAAATTGGAAATTTTAAATGTCCTTAGAGTTAAGCTCTCCGATCCCATTGCATTCATACTCCTTCATAATAAAACGGTTAAAAACTCACCCAGCAGTAAGAAGAAAGCACCTAGTCTGCAATTCATATTCTTGTGTGAATCAGGAGAAAACAGCTAGGGTAGATCACTTTATGGTAAGACACAAAACTTCAAAGAGCAAAAGCAACTATGATAATCAGAAAAATTTCCAATTTTAAACTGAACCGACGTCGGTTGACGTCACAGTTGAATTGTTTTTTGAGTATTGCAGCGAATTTCCAAGTATGTTAGCTTCTTACTGGCTGGTACCACCGGTCGTGAACTTCCATTGGTGGATGTTGAAAAAACTTATCAGCCCTTGGCTTTAATTTACGATTAGCTGATAAGGCTTGGAATGCTCATTCACGCCGATATGGCTCCTTTAAAGCTTTCAGATGGGATGGGGGTACGTGACATGAGGCAAATCTGATAATACTAATAGGATGAACAGAATTGTTCGATTACGGTACCAGTCGTACGGTACAGGGTGTGGTAGGTTCAATCAGTGTAGACACAATTCTGAGATCAAAACCATGTCATATATGCTATTTTCATGAGGAAAATATCAAATAAGGCTCGGTTTTCAGAGATAGAACTCTACAAAATTAAAGAAGCCAGAGTGCTTGACAAATCTCTTAGAAAGCTGCTCATGTTTAACTTGAAGATTTTGAATTTAGCTTCTGTAGAATCATCTGGATACCAAAATGGTGACTCAGAGGCGGAGAACCTAGACGTGCTGAGAACCTGAAACTTGAACTTGGTGTTGGTTACGAATCGGGGTCTTTTCGAGGACTTGTCTACAGCCTGCAGACAGATGCTGCAGCAGTTAATGAGACAATTTGATAAGCGGATACAAACTAACGAGATAAGCTGCTTTTCGTGGCTGGGGCCGGGCGTTCTGCCTCTTGGAAATGCTAGAAACTTCTTCCAAATTACTGCTGGTTAAATCGCCCTTAATCATATTTATAATTTTCGTATTACTGTACGCATCACCCATGAAAAACGGGATACGTTCTAAACATCCTGCTTATCGTATTGCAGTTCCAAAAATGAGCAGCTCATTTGAGAACCCTGTCAGCGTAAGAATTATAATTTGTAACATAATGTTCCGGCCTTGCTTGAGTAAATCATATTTAATATCTAATTTGATTAGGGCCTTTAAGTTTAGGGATATAAGATAGGTAATGGTTGTTCCAGAAATTGTGTTAGAACCTGGACTCATCATGAGTTTTCCGGGTTACAAAAAAACAAAGAAATTGATGAAGTAATGGCCTGTATATGTTTTTCATCGGAAAAACCAGACGGTTTCGATTGTGCAAGTAGTGAAGCACGGTTTTTAAGACTTATCGCACTCACTTCTTAAATCTTAGCAGGAAATAAGAATATTTGGTATCTAATAAAATCAATAATGGATCCTAGGCTACCCAGTGTTCTAGAGAAATTAAACGAAACCGATGAGATGATTGAATGGTTGGTGCCTTTTTATATGATGCCGCTTTCGACTAATAATGATGACTCAGTGCTATTTTTATCCCTCCAAAACCGTTAGACCCTTTCAATCCCGTCATTTTACGACATTTTGACGTCACTGTCTTGCATCTCCTTGCATCTGGTTCCGATCAAATGTCCCAAATTCGATATAAAGGGCTAGAAACTAACGACCTCTTCATCAGGTCGGACGCTATCGTGCGTCACCACGACATACGGAACTATGCCATTACGGAATGTCTTCATATTGGTTCCCATCAAACTGTTAACAATTTAATTTACAGAATGCTGATCGACCTGATGCATTCCGAGTGAGTCACATCATCAACAGTGTCACGTGCATGTGCCTGATGTAGTCTACAGTCCACTTGTTAGTAGTGATGGGTGCTATTCTAATTCAAGTAGCAATGAATCTAGAATCTTAACCTCCATTTCATGATGTCACCGCGGTATAGACACAATTACCACAACTCTAGGGTAGTTCTAGAAACTATGTTGAGGAGATCCAATCAAAATGGAGCACTCAAACGATTTTACCTGGGGCTCGGAATCCGAATTGGGTGATAGTATGACAATGCTGTCTGCAGATTAAAATGGTTAAATAGTGATTGCTACTTTGCACGTGCAATTAGCACATTTGCACGGGGCACGTGATTGACACGTGAACATGTTCTACTTAATTTGCTCTGCCTCCTTTAGAGCACAATGGAAATTAAAAGGGCGATCATTATACGGACTATTGTGAGAAAATGATTACCTGCATTAGATTGGACTATTGGGGGGGGGGGGGTCAATTTTATCCCTGCACAAAAAAAACTGAAAAAAGACAAAGACAAAAGGGACAAGAGGGACAAGAGGGACAAAATGGACAAAAAAAGATAATAGGGACAAAAAAGACAAAAAAGACAAAAAAGACGGGGACAAAAAAGGACAAAATGGACAAAAAGACAGGGACAAAATGGACAAAATGGACAAAATGGACAAAAAGGACAGGGACAAACGAGACAAATGTTCAGGAAAAAGAGGAGGAATAAGAAAATCTTCATTAGAGGACGGGCATGCTTTTTCTCCTACTTCATAGGAAAAAGCGAAGACCCATTAGCTCGATATTGTCGGCATATTGTTAATAATAATGGAGAAGTAATTGTGTGGGTCTGGGTATCTGCTTCTGGCCGCTATGAGCGTTATGATATTAAAAGATGATGACTTTTTTGATATCACCACTTGATTAATGGGATTAATGAAATATTGACTGAACCGTGTACACATTTATTTATGTGATGCTGTTGATGAATTCTGCTTATTTCAGTCCCTTCAGTGGTTTCAGTTGATTCTAAGTACAGCAAAACACTGACATGAAAATCTAAATTGTTGATGTCGAGTAGAATATATACATTCTCTACATTTGAGCTTGTCTAATTTTTTGTCTCATTTGTCCAAAATTTTTGTCCCTTTTGTCCCTTTTGTCCCTAGTATTGTCCATTTTGTCCCCAAAACACTGTCCTTCACAAAAAAATGTAAAAAAAGACAAAGACAAAATGGACAAAATGGACAGTGGTACCCCCCCCCCCCCCCCCCACTATTTGAAAGTAAAATCTACTTATATTATTAGGTGGTATTTTGTTTTTTGTTTGAGCTCAATCAAAGCTCTCGGGTGACAAGATCAGTACGAATAAGACCGATAATGTCGGCCAATCGTGTGTTTTCAAAATTGCAAATGTGTATTATAAATGCTCAATCACAGGTATTTTGGGACTATTCTTTAAGGCATTTGGACTTTTTGTTTTATCTGGTGTAGTATGGCAAGGTGACCCCGTGACCAGGTATTTGACTTGAAATACTCTTGTTTACAGATAATGGTCACGCTTTGATAGTAATTAGACTCATAACTTGGACTAATGATCTACCATTGATTTAGGGTATATTAAAAATGAAAATATGAACAAGTTAAGAGTATGACTTAAGAAAGTTTAAAAGTTTTTTCGAGTGTCGTATGACCAAATTCCCAATATTACCAAAAGTCCAACAAATCCGAATAACCCAACTTGAATGATAACGATACAACCTTCGGCCTAGTGATAAAATATTAAATTTGGACAGGTCTATTTGAAGAGCCGGTAAACTGGCTTGTAATTTCGGCCCTAAATACAAATCAAATTGATAATTCTAAAAATAGCATTTTTATCAGGCCATTTTCGTTTCTATTTTAAGAAATTAAATGAAACTTAAAAGTTAATCAGTCGTACAAGTCTGGCGCTACTGATGTTAGGAAATTGAAATATATTATCCGTATTAAAAGCCTGTCTGCAATGGCAAGGTTGAGCTGAGAGCACATTTGCCGTTTTCTGGCAAATGTGCTTAATAAAGACCATGTTTGAAATTTGGATTGTTTTATCGAAATTTATTTTTTGGATCAATATCTATCCCTAGAACCAATCGCAGGCCGCAAGAAACTTCGTTTTGGGACCCCTTAAAATGGCGAAATTCATCAACTATTATATGCACGATCTTCATTGAAGTAGTCAGTAAAACAAGGACATAATACTATGTGTGGGGACTACGGACCCCATTTCAAATTTGCCGCCTGGTTACATAGCACTGAAATACAATATAATTCAATATACAAATTCAAAGCAATGTAATCATAGTACACACCAGCCCAGACGCTCAACATTTTCTAATACAGATTCCAAAAAGGCACATATGTGATAAAAGTGCTCAAAAACCTCCGATTTTTATTGGTCTTGAAGCACATTTGCCAAAAAACGGCAGAGATGGTTTGGTCCTGTCATAAACAAATTCAAAACGATAACGATGCATGATGATTATGTTAAGAGAGAACTATTTATTGAATAATATACCGTCTTATCAGGGTTTCAGTCGATTGCATTAGACACAGTGATCACATATCATAGAATAAATGAAGTTTCTGAGAGACAGTGGAAGTGTCTCAGGGTAACGTGAAAATTCACAGAACTCAGGAGGTCTGGCCAGTACCCCGAAGTGCTCTTGAACAATTCTTCGGAATTACGAGAAAATTCTTGGTTCAAAATTCTTGGTTCAAAATTAAAGCCCCGATTTACTGCAAACCCCGATTTTCTTCAAAATTTTTTTCCCTACTCTTGCCGAAGGCAAAAAGATCGTAGGGAATAAGTAATCGGGTTTGGATATATGAGGTGGCCCGACGGTCCTACGGTGTCGACAAAAGTCTGCTCCTTCGCAATATAGACCACTCCCCTACAATTATGTGTATAAAAAGAGTCTATATTGCGCGCGCGACGCCAGTTATGTGTTAATTAATTACAGGCATAGCAACCAGTTTTTGGTGCTTGACGACTGTTACACACGGATCAATCATCAATTTAAGTGTTATTTTGGTGAAACAAGCTTAATAAATTACCGAGTGATAAAATTCAGCAAGTCAAAACAAATAAAATTATGTTATCAGCTGATAGACCATGGACTCGTGGCTGATTATTTAACAGTTAATCGAAACTGAATAGTAAAAAGCGAATACAAAGTTAAGAACAGATATTACTTTACATTTACATTCAAGAAGCAAATAATATCAAGATTGCGGTATGCTTTTAAAGAATCCCATATCAAATAAATTAAAGGCTCGGAAGTCGAAAGTCTATGGTGCTGTAGTATAGAGTGTAGATGTGTCGAGTAAGCATCAAAATGTATTAG